GACAGTTTTCTATTTTAATTATTAAAATTGAAATAATTATCAATAGGAGAATTTAACTTCAATATTAATTGACAAAAATGTTGACTTTGCAAAACAATTTGGGACGGGATAGTAAAATTTAACGATAAAACCAATAATGAGAAAATATATGAACTAATGCAACATATATCTATAAATTATTGATGAAAATCGTTAATTTTCATCTTTATTATTGATTGGACATTAGCTTTCGCGCATTGCGCGTATAGACCGCCAGTCTTATAATATATGAATATATATTAGAATGAGATGCACGACGGATTATCAATGTCTTCTTTATATATATAATTTTAATACATATATTCAATTATTAATATAACTAATTAGATTAACTATTCAAGTTTGAGTAATTTTTCCTTAATTTTTGAAATTTTTAGCGTATCATGAATTTGATTTCATATATTGATTTTTAATTATTATTTAGAGATAAACATTATGTAGATTCAATTGGTAACAACTTCCCACAAATAAAAATACATACTAGCTAATTAGGTTGCGGCGGGGCGGGTCCGCCCCGCCCGCATGAGGCGGGTCATGGGTCAACAAGTTTGGACCCGTGCAGGTCACGGGGCAAAGTCACGGGGCGGGTCCGGGTCTTGCAATACCCGCCCCGCCCCGACCCATTGCCATGCCTATATTCATATATAGAAAATGCAAATATATTATAAGAACTCCATTTAGGAATATACACAAGCACATGGGAAATACAAACACCTTCGGTCATACCCTTGGAATGATATGAGCAATTGAGTTCCACAATACCTAAACAAAACTATTTTAGGAGGAGGATCTAGGGGCCTATCCTCCTTGAATTTCACCTAGGCTCAAAAGATTGCAGATTGGGCTACCATCCCAAAAAAATGTGTGCTTCTTGTCAAGAATTGAATTCCATTTGTACTGGGAGAGCCAGAACCAGCACATGCAACTAAATTCCTGTGTTAAAATCTAAGATGACAATGAAATTCATTAGAGAACACACCACCATAAATATTCTCACCTCCAGTGCCACATGCCCACTACAATTCGGGTCACCCCCTTGAATGATGAATGACTTGATGATGCCGTGGAAGATGGTGTGGACGTGGTCACCTTTTAGGCATATCTGCGTGAAGTTCCGGACAACTTTCAGGGGCCTAGCTCTTTGGGGCAGAGCTTGATATCCAACGGCCCGTAGGTCGTCTTGATTACTACCTTGCCTTGCGTTGGTGGCTCCAGTACGTATTCAAGATCCAATTTCTTTACTTTACCAGAAACCTTGCTTCCTTTGGGGGTATGCGAACAAATAGGAATTAACGGGGTAACATGTACGTTAGTTGCAGCGGAAGGTTATTAGTAAATCCTTCAAAGTTCAAACCATAAGGTACAAATACACTTAGGAATACTATTACACCAACACTTTTTAATACCCAAAAGGATATAACCTTCATTCACTATTATAAGTTTTTATTCAGCTCAAAAAGGGTTGAAAATTTTCAAATTTGGTAAGTTTTAATTGAAGTAGTCCCGTTTGGTTGAAGAGCTCAACAAGGCTTGAGCTAGAATAAATGGCCTAAACTAAAACGCTAGGGGGCGTAGCGTTGGTATTCAGTCAACCATATCCAGACTTTTGATTCCTATGATAACCTTCGCTCTTTTCTATCCATTGGTCGCTGCACCCTGTACTGGTGAACTCACGAATCTTTCCTTTAATCTTGAAGTCTTCTCTTGAAGTCATTAAGCATTTCAGAACTCAAATTGTGTGTGCATGACCATATTGAGAAAGTTTTTTTTTAATATCCAGAAAGGCTGATATTATGGTTGCTAGAGAACTGTTCGATGAAATGCCTGTGACTTTGTGATGAACATGGAATCATGGACTGCTTTGATTTCTTGCTTGACTAGAGTTGGAAAGGTGGCATATATCATTTTATTGTTTGAAGAAATGCCCGAGTGATACACTTGTAATTTCCGTGTGTATGTTTATGTTTTTAGCTAGTTTTGGTTGTTTAATATTTCGGAAATTACACACTTTTGGTGTAATAGTTTAGTTTGTTAAATTCTTGTAAATTGTTTAGATTAGGTTTATTCTGAGCTCAAACAGGTCTACTATCACTCAAAGGACGGTTGGTGAACCCCAAAAGTGGAAGGAGGGTGCAAAATCACAAGACAAAGGGGAAGATCCTGATTTTTGGTCTATACTCAATGGAGTATCTGTATATACTCGATCGGGTATCTTGTTGAAATTTCAAATCGGATCGGATCCGAAAACAAAGGAACATGCGGGGAAAATTTTGACCACGATCGAGTGTCTATACCCGATCGAGTACACCGACATACTCGATCGAGTATGGCTATAAATTTTACTCTAATTTCGATCGAGTATGGATCAAATTCGAGTTTCTACACATACTCGATCGAGTATCTGCATATACTCGATCGAGTACCCGAGCTGCACTCCCAAAAAGCCTATAAATACACCCCCTTTCCTTCACAATAGAGAACCAATTCCTATATACTTCTAAGCTCAGTTTAGACAAGTTATTTCTTTATATTTTTTTCATGTTTAGTCTCCAAATGAGGAGCTAAACTCTTCCATCTTGGTTTTGCTACTTTGAAGCTTAATAATTTGTAAGTTGTGAGTTATTTTCTTTAATCTTCTTCCTTGAATATTAATTCTCCCTTTAAATACTATTTCTATATCAATGTTGGGGAGTGTTACTAAGATGACAATTAGTTAACATCTTGACATTAGTTATAGTAATAGCTATTTCTTCCTCTATGTTAATATTGGGGAGTGTTACTAAGATGACAATTAGTTAACATCTTGATATTAACTATAGTAGGATTCATCTTCTTTAATAATCTTCCTTGAGTATTAATTAATTCATGTTCATATTTCATATTAATATTTTGAACATTACTTAAAGGATCAACTAGTTTTGTCTCATATATTAATTATTACTAGAATCGGTCGGCTAATACGCTTGTTATTAATTCGGTCCTTTCACGGTAGTAAACTTGGGTTGTTAATGCATGCTTCTCATGGTTAATAAGCCAAGGGGAATTAATTATATTGATTAAACCAATAAACCGCTTGTGTTGAGGTTATCAATCTCAATCGTTTTCATCTTGATTTTATTGCTACTATCAAGTTAATATACGGCGCTTGTTCTATATTGACTCGGTAGTAAGTTTTATTAATGAACGCTTCTCGTTATTAATAACTACCCTCGATGAACTGAATATACTCCTCGATTGAGTATTCGAGAGGAAGATAGTTAAAGATATAACTGGGATCGACGAACATTTCATTAAGTGGATAAAAGCAAAGCCAAGTCTTCTTCTCATTAATTAAACCACATAACTCGTTTATCTTCGTGTTTAATTTATTAAATCAAATCAAACTAAAACTCCCCCCATTTTGTTACTAGTTCTATAAAAAGAAATGTATTCCTTTCCCTGTGGATACGAACCTTACTACGTTATACTACGTATAAGTGTTGTATTGTATTATTATTTTGAGTGCACGTCACCGAGTCTCTAAGAGATACGTACTACTCCTTGAATTATACAGGAAAATGCACCCCACCCAAAAAGTAAAAGCCAAAAAAAATGTAGTAATTGTGAAAACAAACATGACTCGTTCAAACAAAATTACAATCGTGATATACTAATATTTATAATCGTAATATTATAATAAATATAAAAATATAGTAGTGTTATCCCGTATGCGGAGTTATAATTTTTTTTTCACTTAATACTCATATATTATATGTCCTTTAACGTAATTTTATATTTTCGAGTCACAATTCCAGCTACTTTTTTCAAATAGGTCTACTTCATTCGATCACTACATTAGATTCAGGAAAAAATTCCACTTTTGGTCTCATGACTATTATGTCACTTCCACATCACTCCCTTGACTTTCAATTTAACCAAATCTTGTCCGTGACCTTTTCCCCTTCACCACACGTCGTCCTTCTGACCACAACTCCGGCAAAATTTAACCGGGAACTCATTTAGGTATAAATATTGGGGACATTTTAGTAATTATATGTTGTTAAAACGGCTACCTACAAAATTAACTTCAATTAATGTTGAGTCAATACGCCGGCTTCCTTCATTCTCAAAACCGAAGTCTTCTCCAATTTCCCAAACTTCCGTCAGCCTGAAAATCCCCAACCATCGTTCGAACAATGAGGACCCGTCCGGACCGTCGGAGTGAAGGAGAAGGAACAAGTGCTGAACGACGTTCGCCAACAAATGCTGATGATAAAGGTAAGAGGTTGAACTTTTTAAAAAAAGAGTGGAAGAAAGTAATGAATACAAGACTGAAATGAGGTGTATATAATTGGTGTTTGCACATGTTACGTTCTTCCACTCTTTTTAATAAAAAACCCTCTTTTTTAGCCTCAACATAAAACCCCTAACATGGGCAAACACCAATTATATACACCTAATTTCAGCCTTGTATTCATTACTTTCTTCCATTCTTTTTAAAAAAAGTTCTGCCTCTTACCTTTATCACCAGCATTTGTTGGCGAACGTCGCACTTGTTCTTTCTCATTCACTCCGACGGGCCGGACGAGTCCTCATTGTTCGAACGATGGTTGGGGATTTTCCAGGCTGACGGAAATTTGGGAAATTGGAGAAGACTTCGATTTTGAGAATGAAGGAAGCCGGCGTATTAACACAACATTAATTGAAGTTAATTTTGTGGGTAGCCATTTTAACAACATGCAATTACTAAAATGCCCCCAATATTTCTACATAAATGAGTTTCCGGTTAAAAATTACCGGAGTTGTGGTCGGAAGGACGACGGGTGGTGAAGGGGAAAAGGTCACAGACTAGATTTGGTTAAATTAAAAGTCAATGGAGTAATGTGGAAGTGACATAATAGTCATGAGATAATTTTTTCGATAAGAAAACCTATAAATGCTATTAAATGATGCAACTAACCTTCATTAATTGGTTTTCTGTTAAAATTTTTCCGAGCTGTGGTCGGAAGGACGACGGGTGGTGAAGGAGAAAAGGAGAAAAGTGGAATTTTTTCTTAGATTCAGCAATAACTCCTAATTCACACGTAAACTCCCTCGCTTGCTGAAAAGCTGAAGTACTTCAAACCAGAGCTAGAGCTTCAATTTCATTGTCGCTCAAATCCAATCCTATGGCGTCACCCAATCATATCGACGATGTGAGCGATTTCTCTCCTTGAATATCAATCCGTAGATTCCATTCTGCGTTCTCTTTCATTGAGTTTTTAAAATTAAAAATCGCAGGAGGACGACTTTGGCGGGGATTTCTCTGGAACTCGACGCTCAGGTTTTTGCGCCCCCTTGCTTTATGTATAATTAAGCTGCATCCCATACTGAAAAGAGTCTAATGTTAGGGACTAAGAGAAGCTTTGGAGAGCTGGATGACGAAAAAGAGGACATTTTTGGTTCCAAGAAGGTTATTCTCTGATTTATGCACTCATTATGTTAGCAGATCTAAGAAGTGATTATTATGCAGTTCTTCTGTATTATATGTATATAAGTCCTGTTTTATGGGTTTCATCTGGATTGTGAAAACGCTGATGATGCATCCAAAGCTATGCAGACATACCAATTTTACAGTTTTTGATAATTTAAATGGGAAGCTATGCTGAGTTTTCCAGTTTTCTGTAAGAAAAAACCGAAAACATGTTTTTTTCAGGAGTTTTCTACAAGTACAAAAATAGAAATTAAGTTTACTTCTCAGGTTTTCAAATTAGAAAACCAAAATTTATTCTCAATTTAGAAAGCTCAAATTAGAAAGCATATTTGACAACCTTGTTTGAACTCAATTTAAAGAAATAGGTGATTCACAATTTCACATTTAGCATGACTGAGTTTCAAGCATGAACTACACAGCTATATTATGTAATTCACGTTTTGATGGTATATAATTGTGCAAGTGTGTATTGCCTGCCCATTCTAAGGTCTCGAAAACGTATAAGTAAGTTTTAGGAGTTCTAATTTAAACTTAAGCTTCTAGCTTAACCACCGCAGTGAGTTTTACTTTTATAGGCAAGTGACAAAGTAATAGTGTGCATTCCTGAAGTGAATAGGATTTCTCCTATTTGCGAATGCTTATATTGTTTGCCGTAACTAAATTATTCGTATTTACTTAATGTAGTTTGCATTAACTATTTGTTACCCTTCATTAAAATTGCAGGGAAACATAAAACTGGATGAAACTGCACCTGGTGCTGCAACGGGGACAATTTTGTCCCTGCGTGAGAGGTAATACTTATCCTGATTTTAGTTTCTGCATATGCATATCTTATCTTTTGGAGTTATGCTGCTATATTTTTAATTATCTTGTCTTTTATGTTTTGCAGTCTTAAGAACTGTGAAGAAACCCTTGCAACTTGTCAGGTATGCCCTACACTACTAGAATTTTTGTTGAAATCACTCTTGCAATGCATATCTGATATGTGGTTGTAATTACTTGTGCAATGCATATCTGACATGTGGTTTCTTAACATGTACGTATATCTTAGTTGGGTGGTTACTAGTATGCTCTATATCAACGTAATTTGTTAAGGAATATGTTCATATACTAGTATTGTAATCAATGGTTCATTTTGAACTTTGGTTATCTCTGAGAAGATCTCATATATATCCTTCGGGTGTTCCCACCAATTGCTTGAACTGAAGTACTTGGTCGAGGCGGCCACATTATAAAAAATGGTGTATTGGCACTATGATACCACTGGAATTATCTTTCTAATTATTATAAGAGTGTATGTGTATACTGCATCGGACCAAGTAGGTAGATAACTCAGCAAGGTCTAGGGCCAAGTAGCGAGTATTTGCCAAGCACTGAAATTTGAATAACATAGCTTATGAATAATGTTAAGTTTGTTGATTTCCATCACTGCTTGGTTGGTCAAAATACATGAAGTTCTCTTGAGAACTGCAATGCGTACTTCAAGACTACCATCCATTAATGGTTATCCCAGCATCAGTAGCATAGCCAGTATCTCTATTTAGCACATTCTATACTGTAATCTAATCTTATAAGTTTTAACTGTTCATTATATATTTATATGTTTATATACACCTCCTCCCGTCCTATTTAAGGACACAATTGCCCCTATTAAATGATGCCTTAGTGAAGGAGCTTCATTATTTACTGAGGTTGATGCAGACAACAAGATGTAGCACATTTCCTTTACCACATTTTTGTGTGAATTGAAATCCTTTGTACTACCTATCCATTACTGTTGGTGTACCGCTCCTTTTGATTGGTTAGAATCATGTTAACTTTTTATTAAATTATTTGATTAATAGACATTGACCAAGGTCACCAAGCAAAACGACTGGTATACACGTAGTTTAGGGAATGTGTTGCACATGATTTGAATTTTGAATTTAATAGAGAAGGGGAGGGGGAGAAGTTGGGAGAGGCAGAGGATAGAGAGAAAGAGAACAAGAGAGTTAATTTCATGGGGAAAGATAGCTCTCTTAAGTTCATACTGTTACTTTTTCTGATGTTTTGTAGTCAGAACTTGAAGCTGCCAAGTCTGAAATACAGAAGTGGCATTCTTCCTTTCAGAAGGAACCTTTCATATCTCCTGGAACAACCCCTGGTTCGTGCATCTCCTAAAGCAACATTTATTGTCTTAGTGTTGCAAGGACTTGTTCTTCTGCGTTTTTTAGTATCAAGTGCTTGTTTGATTAATCGATCTTGTGTCCACTATAGTAGGCTCATGTTGGTGGATCTGGTTTGCTTTCAAATGATATATTTACATTTGATATATTTCCTTACAGAACCTGAAGTTGTAATCAACTATTTTCAAAATTTAAGGTCATCTGAGGAGTTGTTACAGGAACAGGTGTTCTCTTATCTTATGTGAATTAATTAATAGTTAGCATTTTCAATTCTAGTTTTGACCCAGCAACTTATTTTATTCAATTTTATATTAATCTACATTGTTGGCTTTTTCAGCTGGAAAAAGCAAAGAAAAAAGAAGCTGCATTTTTAGTCAATATTGCGAAAAGAGATCAAGAAATAGCAGAGTTGAAGGTAAGAAGTGCTCTTTATTGTTACATAGCATGAAACACATTTGACTTTTGCGGTTACTGGGCTCAATCAGAAGGATATCAATATCCAGCATATTATTATGACTGTAATGGCATGTCTTGTTTGTTGGATAGGCCATGAATTGTATGGCATTTCATTTCATTTCATTTTCTACACTAAAATAGAATCCCAACACATTATTAAGGCTGCTCTGCCGCTTCTTCCCATTCTTAGTCGCTAAACCTTAACTGAATACCTCCTAATCCATATTCAGCCCACCATATTGCTTGTAATTGGACTTGGTGGGAATAGTGGAGATCATTTATATGATGAAATCAGTGGTCAGCCAGAATACATAATAATTAATAACTAATTATAAAAAGCTAGGTCTGGAGATGATTTTCATTCCTAATCATCAAACCTTCAATTAAACACCTCCTAGCCCATTTTCATTCTTGATTCATGCTATTCCATTTTGTATGTTCACTCTTCTATTTGTTAGTCATAATCGACATTAGTTTTTCACTTTTTATATTATTTTTATTTATTTGGTCTTATTATTTGATATGAAGCACTTTATGTAGCTTGTACATCTATTATTTTTTTGAAGTATTTACCAACTGTAAATTAAATATAAAAAAATTGTAATAAATATGATTTAAACCTTGTCGTAATGCTAGACACCATGAGACTAGATGCTATGTGACCGGCATAGTTTTTTCAGTCACATGTTTTTTGGTTTGCAACTTTGCATAATGTGTTACAGGGAAGGAACTCATAGAGCCCCCCTTAGGAAATCAAGCTAGCAATGTGTGGGGGATCTTATTATTTCAGATTCAGAAAGCTTTGTCCCAGTGTTTATACTCTAAATTACAAAGTCAACTTGGGACAGGGCACATTATTTTCAGGGTTTTGTCCTGATATATATTTTGGTCAGAAGATAGCTTCTGAGTGTTAGTATTAAGAAGATACCATTCGGTTGTGACTTGTTCCCGGCAGGCCACCCTATTGGAATTGCTAACTGAACAAAGGAACAATCTTTTTACGACACAGCCTGATAAGATACAATTGAGATCTTGATTTCATAGTTTTAAAAGGCTCAAGGCCACCAATGCGATTTTGGTTCCCAGAATCAATGGACTAAGCTCAAACTGTCATGCATGCCTTGCAGATCTGAGGCACCCATATGCTAAAATGCATTTGTATTACCAGTTTTCAGAAGCTGGTCTCCCTAGCTTCTAAAAGAACTGATTCTAGGAGTAATTAGGGCACTAGAAGTACTTCTTCACTTCCACCCAAACACTCCAAAGGAAGAGAAGCAGTTTTAAGAATCAGATCCAAACACCCCCTATCTTGCACACAAACACAATTGTACCATGTCTTGAATACTATTTAAAGAAATAATACTAATCGGTAACTGAATACCAGAAACTCAGCGTGGGCCACTCACAACATAAATAATCTTGAGAATTATGAACCCAAAGGGAATTGCAGTGGACATTATATCAACCCATAGAAAAAAAGACTGCAAATACAAATTAAGAAAGCTACGCGAGAAGAGAAACCAAAACTCCCTTGCTAATGGAAATTAAGAAATAAGAAGAAGAGGTAGATGAGTAGAGATGACTTGTATTGTCTGTCCTTACTCCTTACCCTACTCCTAGAGGGCTAGTGGTGGCAAAACAAGACCTACTGGTTTACTACTCGTGGTCCAATTTCGGTTAAATGGTAAAGCAGGAGGAAGATTCAAGACAACCCTATTCCTTGAGGCATTTGAAGCACTGCTTCACACCTGTGATGAGGTGCCCCCATGAGTGCAACTCCTGTAGGCAGTTGTGCCGGGTTTTTCTAAGATAACTCTTTGTTTGCCTCAATGCCTCGTGCCTAGGCGAGGTTTTTTTTGGAAGGAGGCTTAAAATGATATCACAATATTCAGATAGGGAGTAAACAGCTAAACAGCCTAGGCGAGGTTTCTAAAACCAAGATTTGACATTTGGTTTTCTTGTTTTTTCATTACGTAATACTACGTAGTATAATACATATCAGTGACTTGATGACTTGCCTGTTTGAGCAACTTTTATGATATGATTACTAACAATCATATTTCTAGTCTTACCATTTTCTCTCTTCTCTTTCTTTCTTTGGTGATTGCCATAGTCTTGTGTTCGTGATCTCAGAGTACAACTGAAACCGCCGTCCATGCAGGTATGCAAATCATACATCTTTAAATGTTAATTGTATTTATTCTTTTCCCTTGTGAAGTACTAAGCACACAGTATTAGAGCTTGTAGTCTAAAATCGTAATTTCAGTGGCTAATTTATATTCCACTGTAAACTTTTGGATGATATGGTTTCTTCACTTTCATTGATATAATATGAGTACATAACTTAAAATACTTTAAGCTTTTGTTAGGATGCACTTAACATTCTAAAATTACATTTGTGAAATAATTAATACTCCCTCCGTCCCACAAAAGTGACAAAACTTGGCCAAACTTGACTTGCACGTAGATTAATAAAGTAAAAACTGTGTGGTTGAAATGTGTGCAAAGGAGAGAAGAATAACTTTAGCCACATATTCCTTGAATGAAAATGGCAAAGTTTTTTGGGACGGCCAAAAAAGGAAATTTGGGCAAGTTTTATGGGACAGGAGGGAGTATTACATCTGGTGCAATCTAATGTTAATGACATCCTCATAAATGTTTTGTGTATTTTAAAATATGTACTTATAATACACGTGCAAGTTTGGGGTACTTATGTCACACCTCTTCAAAGTTTGGGATATTTAAATTACTGTTCCCTAAAAGAAATAATGATTTGTACAATAAAAAATATCAAATAACCAGCTACCACTGGCCTTCATCACTGCCATCGGATGCTGACCACTCAACTGGTGGACTGACTGGGCTCTCTCCCCTTGTGTCATGGAGACCCAAGGTTTGAATCCATCTATTTGCAAAAACAACATGAAGGTGTTCTCCTTACCCCTTTCCAGGTATCCCCATTATGTAGGGGCTACAGTTCTGGGCACACCCTTTTATGAATCACTTAGATCCGTCTAAATGTGTGCTGTTAAACATGAAATTGTATCGGTCATTATTTGGATAGCTTCGTGCTTGTTTTCTGTGGTTAACACTTTAGGAAACAAACCCTACTAGAAAAGATCTCCAGAAGCAAACCCAACCACAAAGATTGCCAGTTGATAGTTTCTTTCGTTTGGCCTGCCTTTGTCTTATGACTCTTATCTTCAAGATTTGATCATGATATATCTATAGTTGGCTTTTGTCATTTGCGATTTCAAATTTTTGATTCAATTTGATTCTTCAACTTCTTTTCTATATCTGGCTGAATTCCATTGCAACAGTAACATGAAACCTCAACATGTTGTTTTGCAATTCACTGTTTTCTAATATCAGATATTTTTATTGCAATATGTGGGAGCCTTTGCGGCACTGGGTTAATGATGATGATATTTTTGTTCATTGCTAACAACATAACCTTCCCATTTTGACCTATGTAGTATTTCTCTAGTGTGGATATTTTTTTGCTATGCTCTTCTGTGGATATATATTCCGTTTCCTTTTACATTACCTGCATTATCTTTATCTAGCTCTCAACTTGTAGTTTACAATTTCTTTGCTATATTTACAGGCAAGGAAATTATTGTTAGATCCAGCTATTCATGAAGAGTTCACACGATTAAAGGTTCTTTCTCCAGCTTCATTATATTGTTAGTTTGTTACAGGTGTAATGGATAAAAATGAATAGGGAAATTTCCTGAAATAGGAGTAAAGTTGAGGGAAAGAGACATAGATGGGAGTAAAACATACTCAAGGAATCTAAACAGGAGTTCAAGTTTGTTAACTCGCGTATATGACTAATTTTCATATTAAGGGACAATAATACTCTCAAATAATAAAGCCACAGAAAGGATGGTCTACTGGTCATTACGCCATCGACTAGGCATACCATCGACATAGGAGATGCGCCAGGGAAATCGAATCCCCTGAAGTCTTAGGCGTGCGTCTCTTGGCAACTGCGCATCCTTTGATCGTGTTCAGTCGCCATCCTGACGCCGTATTTGGAGTTATAGATATTCGCATTCCAATTTTACTGTAGATTCGACGCCCAGTATAGAAGCCAAGCGGCGGCAGTGAAAAATGCCAACTTTATTTTCATTCTTTTCACTATAACAAGGATCTTCAATCTCATCTTCCTCATCTTCATCATCTTCATCTTACAACTCATTAATTCTTGTCGATCTAGTGTTGCGAGCTGTTTCTAAAAACTTGGTCTTGAAGATGTTAGTTCGATTGAATGTGCACCAGGTCATTCATTTTTTGTGACAACCTTGCCCCTTTGTTCTGAACGTAACATTTTTTTGGCAACCTGATTTTTCTTTTTGGTTGCTGATGCATTTGTATCCCATAGAATTAGAACAGGGTGGATGAAGTGGAAGAGTGCATCAGGATTTCTATGCGATCGAGGTATGCCGACTAGACTGAAGGGTAAATTTTATAAGACAGCAATTAGGCCGGCATTATTGTATGGCACGGAGTGTTGGGCGGTGAAACAATGTCACATTCAAAAGATGAGTGTGGCAGAGATGCGCATGCTGCGTTGGATGTGTGGGCATACTAGAAAGGACCGCGTGAGGAATGAGACAATTAGACAAAGGGTGGGAGTAGCACCTATTGAAGATAAGATGCGGGAGTCACGCCTACGGTGGTTTGGTCATGTGCATAGAAGACCGAGTGATGCACCTGTCAGACGAGTTGAGATGTGTGGAGAAGAGGTAGGGAAGAGAGGGAGAGGAAGGCCCAAACAGACGTGGGTTAGGGGAGTCAGAAGTGATATGCTTCTTCTTAGATTGGATGAGGGTATGGCTTTGGAGAGAGCAAAATGGAGGGCGGGTATTCGTGTTGAGGAGTGATCTTGTATCATCTTTTTTTTTTTTCTTCTTCTTCTTCTTTTTTTTCCTTTTCTTTTATATCTTTATCCTTATATATAAATATTACCTTATCCTTTTTATTTGATCTTTTATATGTATATTCATCTCTTTTATATTATCTTTTTTTTTATAATAGCTATCTTTTTTATCTTTAGTTTCCTTCTTTTCCTTTTGGTGATAATGTGATATCATATATCGATTCATGTTAGCCGACCTCAATATCATTTGGGACTAAGGCTTGGATGTTGTTGTTGTTGTTGTATGCATTTGTTCTTTTGGTACTTCAGCTTGTTTACTCTTTTCTTTCAACTTTTCTAGTGCACTTTTTTTATGTTTTTGTTCATAATAATTTTTTTTAAACCTTCTTTTGCAGAATTTGGTAGAGGAGAAGGATAAAAAGGTCAAAGAGTTGCAGGACAATATTGCTGAAGTGAATTTTACCCCACAAAGCAAGAATGGGAAGATGTTAATGGCTAAGTGTAAGACTCTCATGGAGGAAAATGAGGAGATTGGTAAACAAGCTAATGAAGGAAAGGTATTCACAATAATTTGTATAAGAATTTCCTTTTTCTTTCTGCCAGAACTAATTGTTCTGAAATCCAAAAAAGGATGTTTGTAGTTTGGGATTTGGATATGTATCATTGTTATGCTGTTGATGATATTTCATTTCTTTGTTTTGCAGATACATGACATGGCAATGAAATTGGCTTTGCAGAAATCACAGAATGCTGAGCTTAAAGGTCATTTGGAAGGTTAGTATTCTTCTACGCTTTATGAGTTATGACTAGTAATAGAGTTACAAGATATCTCTTTAATGTTAGTTCTTAGACCAACAATATTATAATTTCCATATACCATCAACTGGAAATATAAATATATAATGGGTGTTATGTACATTAAAGATTAATTGAAGAATATACTCCATATCTTTTAGAGGTCAATTGCATTCCATCATTTGGTAGAACCAGACGGTGGGGTGGGATGGAGGTAGGAGTGCCTGACCTCTGATGCAATGTACCAGATAACATACTCCCTCTGTATTCTATTGTTTGCTACAACAGGGTTTGGCACAATATTTAGGGGAAAAGTAGTGGGGGTAATGAATAGTATAGGAAAAGTAGGAGAGAGGGTGGAAAAGTATGAAAGAGAAAGTGAAAAAATGAAACAAGCAAGTGTAATTGAATATTTTTAAAGGGAAAACTTACTAAAAAAGGAAAGTGCAGCAAAAATTAAAATACATCCCAAAAAGGAAAGTGTAAATACGGAGGGAGTATTAAGGAATACTAATATCATGGATTTCGAATCTTATGATGATATTTTGCTGTCTTCTGTTACTTGTTACAGGGTTGTGCAAACAAATAGAGGGACTGACTAATGATGTTGAAATATCAAATGAAATGGTAATCCCCTTGTACTATTATACTACTATACCTCCGTCCCCCTAAGTTTGAGACAAAGGGGTGTGGTGTTTTTTTTAAGAAAAAGTAGAATTGTGTGGTTGGTATTGAATTGATAAAGTGTGAATAAAGTAAGAATGAATTCTAACCACTCAAATATTACCAAATATGGTAAGTGACAAACTTAGTGGGACAGACGAAAAAGGTAAAACGGGACAAACTTAGGGGGATGGAGGGAGTATATATTTATATTTGTGGTTACGTAGAGCCAGTGGGTTAAGGATTTTAATGCCTTACATAGTAATGCCTCCTGTTTATACCATGTACCATTTATTTAATTCAAGACTGTTTTTCATATTGTTATGCGTGATTATCCTTTTACATTATTTTGTTCAGTGCTGAATTTGGAGTTAGTGATATGAATGATTGGCTAAAGTTCCGTGCTGATAATAAATTAAGAATATCAATCTGTTATAAAATTGAGGCATCTTTCTGTTGCTTCACTAGGGCTGTTTTTCTGTGTTACTCTTTAAGATTATCTCTTATCATCCGCTCTGTGACATCACTGACATGCCCTTGCATCTTGTCTTGTTTAGAAAACAACCCCAAAATGACAAAGGCTTTGTTTAACAACAGGGAAATTAACTTCAATGATAGGAACCAACCATTGAAAAGGAAAAGACTTAGATACGAAGTACTGGAAACGAAAAGATAGCATGGGTTGATAAAAAAGAAACGGAAATACAATTGAGACTCTTTGAGAGGCCTCACTCTCCCAATACCCAATCCCAAATTTCTGTCTGCCTATCTACTCACCCCTCTCCCTTATATATGCTATTTCTAATGGGCCAGCCCACTTCTATTAAGTTATAGGGCCTAAAACCCTATTATTGAGAATAATAAAATTACTTAATAGGACTCTTATTGAAAGAATACCAACTATCAAGCACATTATAGCTGCTGCTGATTTAGAATTAGGTGATTATTTTAGTAACATTGAGAATAATAAGAAAAGTGATGGTAATAATCTTATTCGTTACTCTGTAATGTTTATTCTTTTTTTTTTTGAAAAGTTGTGATATAACCCAGGTGCAGTTTTAGTCAACCATTAAAAACAGTAACTCTACGTGCTTATACATTTATGTGCTATCCGTTAACAAAAATCCATTATTCGCTTCCTACTCGTCAGTTGTAGTACTCGAGTTGGAGCAGTATATGCACATACTATATGTACTGTAGTAATACTTGCTTGCTTTACTGACATCTTATATTTATTCCTTTTCTTCAATTCACGAATTAGTGAGAAGACTTCACTTGTGCCTTAAACTTCACTTCAGATAAACACCAGCTAGATTTAAACTACTGGATTTCCCTTCTGTTTCATTTTGTGATATTTTGAGAATGTGATTGATTACATGGCCAATTTAGGATCTGACTTGTGAAAACATAAATTTTGGAATAAGATATTTGAATTCACTGTTAAGTTGAGAAATTCATTCAAAGCATATTCGGTTGCAGGTATATCTTTTGCAAGAGAAGCTGGAAGAGAGGGATATGGATATCAGACGGTTGAAGAAAGAGCTAGAGCAAAGACATATCGAGGAAGAGCCACTCGATAAAACCATCACGGAGGAAGATAAGCGCTCTTCTGATGATAAGTGTGCCACCATTGAAGTGTTAAGTTAACTACTGGCTGTCCTACTCGAGTTCACTCTTAGATATACTACGTATTTAGTTTGTTTTATATAACTATTTTAGGCTAACTGAAGTCTTGCATGTGTATACTGTAAAGACTCGATGTGCTTTCATTGGGTTGGAAATAATGTGCATTTGAGAAAGGAATTATAGTTAGTCTATTTATATTAGGAATATATTTACATCATTGAGAATCTATATTTATTTGGGGATTTTACAGTAATATTACTAAATGGAAACTCATGGACAAATATAGGACTCATTTTAAAAATTTCCAAAAAAGAGATCTATATAGCTTTTATACCCTTCTCTAGTACAGCTGTGCAGTTACTCGATTTGACAATTTAGAGTTACTTAATCCAACCAGTTATAGTTATCCACCCGACTGGTTATAATTGCTTGTCCGATCAATTACAGTTATTCGATCAATTTATTACAATTTTTACTACTCGATCCAATCAATTATAGTTACAACTTACAAGGTCTAACTATTTATAGTTACTTGGTCTAAGACTCTAAGTGACCACTATTGTTTATCGCCGTCCAAGTCACCCCAGCCAATTGTTATTTTTGGTTCTGCTCGAAAAAGAAAGATGGAACTTCTTTTAGAATCGGAGGGAGTATATATTGTATATATGGTGCTTATGTAATTGTAGGAGATTGTGAGGTCGTTTGGCAACACTGTTTTTCGGCTTATCAGGCTTATTTGCCACCGCCGCCTTGGCAGACTGGCAGTGACCATAATTGTAAACCCTAGCCTCAACGGTTCAACACCGTTTCCCTAAAGCCTTAGATGCATAAGGACAACCCCCAATCAATGAAGAAAAGACCTAGATAAAAAAAAATGGGGAAGAACACATTGAGCCCCATCAATGGTGCACCTAGACGAGAGAGATGGAGTGATGATTTTGTGTGATGGTGACGGTGGATGTAGTGGTTGCGCACAGGGACATATGAGAGAAGATCGGAGGAGGGAGAATAAGATTGACTGATGGAGCAGGAAGTCGAAGATCGATTGATGTAGCAAGGAGGAGAAGATTGATCGGATGAGGAGGGGAGAGTTTAATTGATGATATTTTGGACTAAACAATACACAGTAATTTTTAGTCATTTTTTGGTCCAAATTCAAAAGTGGTTTTACTTTTGTGAGTTTTGTCCTTTTAAACTCTGAAGCATTATTATTGACATTATTTCAATTTACACTAGGAGTATAAACATTTTTAAATTTGGATGATTTTTGTATTACATTTTCTAAAAGAAAAAAGGATAACACAAACGTTTCAATATGATTTTTCTTAACAATGTCTACATCGAGCTGAGACATTCTTGACAATGTCGAAATAACTTAAAAATATATATATAAAATCGTTCAAATAAGGATAAAGATGGTTTATTCACTAATATTTATGTAGTCATCTCTAATGCCACATGTACACCATGCACATTGTAGCATTGGAGATACTTTTATCACATCCATTATGCATTGCAACTGTTTAGATTTTGTTAAAATATAATTGAATTAATCGTCTTCTAACGATTCATGATTAGAAATTATTATCAACATTATAAAAAAACTAGGAAATCATAATTATAATTCCAATGCGACAATTGTGTGACTCATAATCTCTTCTAATCTGAATGAGCTCACACTTTTACCTATAAATAGTAGTCTTCTCTCATTGTAATTAACACCCCATCAATAACACTTCTCACTTAGTGTTCATAATATAATCACTCTCTCCCTAATCATTGCTTATTTGAACTCATGTGTTTTTCAAATGGTTGACGAGTGTGCTGTTATTTTTATCCTTTTCACCTAATTTTGGATTAGATTGATTTTTTTAAAGGATGAATTAACATATCAAATAATTCCACAAACTCACATACTAAGTACAAATAAAGCATCAAACACATGAAATTATTTGCAAAAAGATGAAATTAAAAATCAAAGTGGACGCTCTCCACTAGATATAGCCTATGGGTAACCCCTTTAACAATACTATATTAGGGAGTATTTTTAAATGGAGTTGTGATTGTTGAAATATTTTATTGAAGCTCGCGGTCGTCTCTAGAGTTTCCCTAGCAGTTTGTATCGGTGGCAACGGAGATCGTTTCGTTCGGTGAGTCTTTGCTCTCGGTTGGAAGCTGGTAGATCGTCTGGTCCGTGTTTCTTCATATCAAGCCTTCTCCCAGGGCTCTGCAACAACAACAACGGAAATTGTATTGGCCGGTGGCTTGGGTGCTCGGGTAGAAGCGTTGCGATCAACTGGTTCGTGACTTCATCAAAGATTGAACTGACGGTTTAGCTTTTGCAGTGATTCTATCGAGCGAGTCATGCGCAATCCGGACGGGATGTGGTCAGGACGGATCGAGATGGAGGAGATGATCAACAAGTGTGATAACATGATTCTCGAGGGTGATGAGGACGATCTGATTCTGGACGAGGAGGTTACGGGCGAGGAAGAGGCTCCGAACTGGAGTATACGGGCGAAAGAAGACGAAGAGGTGCTGATCTGTCCCCATCCTGAACCGTCGCCATGGAGGAATTGTGCGACTAGGGCTGTGGGAGTTCGGCGGAGGCTTCTTGGGATGATAAGGATGCATCTGAATTTCCATGATTTTGTTGTTTTTGTGTTTTTTATTTTCGATCAGTCTATATTTATTTCTAGTACTGTTTTTTTCCTACCAAACTCTTACATTAGGTGAGGGTGATAGGGGTTTTGCTCCGGCCACGTTAGGCTCATTTAGACCCACTACATGATCAACGAATCTTATTGCTTCTTACAAGATGATTGGTTCTCAAGCTGATTCGAGGGTTGGTGGTTGGAAGCGATTCCTTTATCTCTTTTATCCCTTGCTAAATGTTTTATTATCAATTTAAGCCACATTCTTAAAAAAAAGGTAACCCCTTTAACTTAAGGTGAGCTTAGGGGGAGGGGAGCATTTTGGGTTGCATACGGGTTCTTCTGGGTTGGGACCGATCCCATATTCCCATATGCTCGAGGATGTGTGCCATTGGATCTATGGGGTTCACATCTATGTCCATATACTCCAGTACTTATGTGAAGACTGAAATTACTATAGATGATCATATTAGCTATTTTTAATATAATTTTTTCTTTGTTTTATTATTAAAAGATATTTGAAATATAAATTTTTACATAAATGAGCTAATAAGCCGATTCAGTCATTTTAGGCCCAATCATTCAATTTTGATATTATCAAACGGACTTTTAATTGAAAATGTAACAACTAGATTTCGTTTATCTTCTTCACAAAGTGAAGAAAGAATTAAATGTAGGTTCAATCTTACTTTTTTATTATTACAAAATCCAGCGTGCAAAATTAAAAATTATGTGTTTAGTAAAAAGTTGGTTGATAAATGTGGTCAAGGTTGGTGTCAATAAATAAATAAAAGGTAACAAGCTCTTAATTATCTTTGGTTTTACCTACCCGAATTGAATTTGAGCCATGCAACGTAATTAGGATCGATTCTAAGGATGTTTTTACTTGGACTGTAATTTATTGGTCTGATCTGGTCTGATTGAGTTTAGTTTGATCTGAATTGGTCTAATCTGATCTGGTAAACATCTGATTTCTATGTATTTTATAATTATGAAAGTTAAGTCTGGTTGTGACTGAAACTAGTCTAAGTAAACGGAAAATTCTTGGTGTACACATTCTTATACACATCAGTACACCCCATTGTCTGTGAGAGTTTTTTTTTTGTCTGTGAATGCCAATTCACAGACAAAACCTGACTTGTTTTGTCTGTAGAATTTTCCACAGACAAAACAAGCCAGGTTTTGTCTGTGAACTGGCATTCACAGACAAAAAAAACTCTCACAGACAATGGGGTGTACTAACGTGTATAAAAACGTGTACAAAAGGAATTGGGATCAACTCCGAATTAATTTCGAGTAATTTTAGTTTATCGGGTTGAATGGGTCGAATCGGGTTGGTGTCCAATTGAACTTTTTGACATATAAGACGACTTGGTTGACTAAATTAAAGTCAGCCACACACCAGAATGGCCAAACCTAATTTCATTCATAAACTAATTTTATGAATGAAAGATATTGCTGGCTTGCACTGGCAGGGGTGGTGTATTGTTATGCCGTTCTGCTTCCTCATCCCCTACGCATTTCTCCATTCCAGAGCTTGAAGAAGACAGTAATCTGCACAGTAATGTGAAGCAGCTCTAGTATTGTTAGCAATAGCATGCCATATAAGGAGAAACGGGCATCCGATCATTACTGAGTTATCAAGCCCGTTTTTCTTCTCTATATTGATGCGTCGCACTTCTCATCTTCTCTCTCACCTTCGCTGCTTTTCTCTTCGCTCTACTGCTCCTGCCTCTCTCTGCGGCGGCAATGTGGGCTTCTTAGCACATTTTCACTCTTGCAGGCCCAAGTTTGAAAACTGGGCAGAACCTTATCCCGATGGCTATCGCAAACTTCAAGCAGATACCACCAATTATCAGCTCATTGGGGAAAGATGGTCTTCAGCTGCTTCCTTTGGATTTCGTGGTCTATATCCCGGGAGCTCTTCGCTGAAGGTCACATCTTCGACTCCAGTTCAATTGAATCTGAATCATCGGCTTTTCCTAAGGCATTGTAAGTGTAGTTCTTTTTCTCTTTGCTTTCTTTTTCATTCTGTTCATAAGAATAGTCTATTTTGATAGTGTTCTGGCTAAAGATTAGTTTTGAGTTTTCATCGTTAAGTAAATACGATTTTCAGGCTTCTTGACCAGAGCTAAAAAGAAGATTACGGAGATAGAAGTTGAAGATCATGGGTAATGTGTGTTTACTTTCTACATCGACATAGTACATACTAAGCTTGTGTTTGTCTTTTCTTAAATTTTATTTTGATGTTTAGTGTTGAATTGTTGATCCCAGTACTTTGTAGAATGGTTTTGGCAATCGTTTACCCATAATTGTTTAACCAAGAGTCTGTTGTTATACTGGAATTCCCTAAGGCTTATTTGGATATGGGGTTTTAGAGGGAAATGGATAGGTGGGCTTAGTCAATTTGCCTATGTCTTGATGATGTTTTAAATTTTATAAATATCGAACCATTAACATAATATGCGGTAGTAATGCCGTATGATATTGCTATAATTGCATATAAAAGAAAAAGTTAGACTATAATAAAAAAGTCCTCACAACTCACAAGTATATTGGAAACAATAGGATTACTACTAACAAAAGATAATAGGACTAATGTGAAAAAATAGAACTAATACTCACAACAGCTCTTTGGACCGCAGCTCAACTCAAGATGGAAAAGATAATTGTGTGGTTTGTATTATGAT